ATTTGCTACCAAAAGAGTACAAGAAATAATTTTTTCGTGCACGTTTTCCAAACAATATATTTGAATCTATAAAGGCAGTCTAAATTAATGACAGAAAGGCATACTAATTGAGTAGTCCCTTTTTATAGTGCACGCTTTGTCTTGGCGGTCAGAAAGAACCTCGTTAGAAAGCCGGCATCCTGAAGTGTCTAAAATATGTTGAGATTAGGCTGTATGGGCATCTTTATTACAACCAACCACAATATATTCCAATCGAAAATCTATTTCAGAATTCCGGCAGTTATTGCGTGAGATAGTGAATCTACTGTAAGTAAGGATTTCTTATATTTCTTCCTCAAGAAGAGAACAAGTACCGGCTGCGATACAGGTGGCTTTGCGTCCAACTTCTGTTTTCGACTTCCTTCAACTGTTGCAGTGAAAATGAGAATTCCTTTCCGAAATGGTACTATATCCTAACTGAGAAACCGAAATCGAACGTTTTCACAAATTATCAGTTTTTTTTTTAATTTTCTGTTTATGACACAGTCGTTGACGTGGTATTCTCCAACGTAAAGGTTCCTGTCGAGAACGTGCTTGGGGAGGCAAATTCCGGACTTCAGGTATTCTTTCTCCATTTACCTTCGTCTAATTATTGAACTATTTTAGGATTCTCCTTTTTATTTCATAGCAGGACAGTCTTAAGTACACTATCCTACTGGAGTGCGCTTTTAAATTCTGAAAAGATTACGTCCAGCCCAAAGAATTGGCTAAGGTGTCGTCTACTTCGTATATTCGTATGTGGTAACGAAGCGGCAATCGGGCGTAACTGTTTACTATTTCTGTTTTACCCACCAGCCGTCAGGTATTTTGACTCTGCCGCAGTTTAATGAAATAACTATTGGAATGCGAGTTTTAGATTAGCTTCCGGGGATGCTAGACTCCGGTGACTGCATAAGAAATAAAACATTCAGAGGCTTGAACATTTCTGCTTAATATGTGAAGTAGAGGGCTGTTTTACTGTTTGCCGTAAATTGCAAATTGAGATTCAATCAACTGTGGTTTGTCGAAATTGTATTTCTTTTCAAGACTGGAGGAACGTTTTCCTGCTTGTAAAAATAATGTCTGCGAGAGTTAAATAATGCTATCCCTTTCTCTTCTCCTACCAAACCTATTGTTCTGCCTATCTCCTATGTTACAGTGAAGTTCGATTCAACAAGCCTTCAGTAGTGCTAAGTATTTGCATCGTTGACATTTCTTAGCAAATATGGCGTTATTCTCGGTGACCAGAAAAGAATCCAATAAGCGCTGCAAGAGTAAATACGTTTGTCTGAAACTGAGCATATATTACGTAGGCTGTTGAAGTCTCAGTTCCTCTGTTTCTGTCTTTTTACACGTAAGCTATCTTCTCGTAAATGACAACACAGAACACTGACATGTTGATATACGACAAGCGGTATGACGGAAGCCCCGGCGCATGGAACGGGAATACTTCGTGGCGATTAGCTCAAATTGAGGGGGGTGAATTTCTTGACCAGTGTGGAATGACGTCTTATTATCATATCACTTTAAACAACATGATAAAACATCCGTAACGGAAGAAACCATTCGGAGTAAACGTTTTAAAACCATAATATCTCTTTAGGTAAGGCACGCACGATAGTAGTAGTATTAGTAGTATAGCCGATGCACTTTTCTAAATTTCCCTTGTGTGCAAAAATGCCCTCAAGGGCGGCCTAATATCTGGCTTATACACTTTACTCATACAGCTTGCAACACGTGTTGCCGCCTCTGACAGGCACCTGGTTGGCGGTTTGTGCGTGGGTCTTCTGCGCAATGTGCTCGACGCTATGGTGGAGCATTGCCAGATGCGGCATCGGTTCGGTCGTCCAATCGCGCAATTTGGAATGGTACAGGAACGTTTGATGCGTTCGGCTGCCTACCTCTATGCCCTGGAATCGATGACCTACCTGGTAGCTGGTATGATTACTGCCCAGCCGGAGCGCGATTTGCGCATCGAGTCTTCTGCTGTTAAGGTATGATTTAAGTACTTTTTACACTTGAGAACAACTGCTTCGTAATTGCAGTAAACCGTATAGAAAGTGGAACTCAAGCTGCTTGTTGTAATTAATCAGCCGTGTATTCATGTCCATTTAGTTAGAATGGTCTACATTTATTATGATGTTATTCGTCTGAGTTTTATTGGTTCTAGTGTCTAGCTCTACCCGCAGCTCACACAGGGCCCCTTTTTAACTCAGTATTTTGCCTGAGCACTGTATTTTTCATTGTGTTTGGAACCCTCAAACAACAGCTCTTCGCAACGGAAACCACAAAGTACGTCCTTAACGACTGCATGGCTCTTTCGGGTGCCTTGGGTCTCACTAGCGAACTTCCGATCGAGCGGTATCTTCGGGATGCCTACGTGCTGGATTCCTTCATGGTAAGTCACGGCCTTATTGAGTAGTGTTAGTACCTTTTATTATTATATTTACTTACTTCGCTGATTATCCGGTCACCCAGACTAGATTTCGTCGGCGTTCATTCGATCGACAGTCTTCAGAGCAGGACGGAACAAGGTGACCCACATTAACTTAACAGATTATCTGCACTACTTTAAGCCCCACTTACCTGGACTACCATATGCATTCGTTACGTTGCTTTTTTAAAGTCCTTTGGTAGGACTTAAACAGAAAAAAACTATGCTATTTAAATCATTTCTGTCAGTAAACTTTAGCTTATTTAAGTGGTGAATAGTCCTGAACAAAAGGCATTGTAATTGGTCTTGAACCAAAGGATGAAGTAGACAGAAAATTTGCTTTTCATCTGTCGTTTAAATTTCCTGAGTTCTGAGCTGAGTTCTTAATATTAGATTTTAATGGAAAAATTGGCAGCCCTCCTTCTAAGCAAATGGTCACAAAACCATTAAACGCATGGTTGCTGAAATTTTAAGTTACTGGCAGACGACCACAAGGATTTACTATGGGCACATTTCCAAATGGAAATGCTAGTTGACTCTTTTTATGTTTGAATTTTTTCGAAGAAAAATGACTGACTCGACACTTAAATATATTAAGTTGGTATTCATGTCGCACCGACTTTGGTAGAATTTCATGAGCAGACTAACATAGATACAGCTTACTCGAGGTACATTTATATGCAAGGTTTACAATTCGTACAGAATAGCAGGTTAGCTTTGCCTTCAGAACCTTTCCAACCATGCACATATTTAAAAAGGGTTTTTCACCGAGTGATGCCTCTTGTAAAAATATGCTTTCTATTATGGAGCTAAGACATAGGGTTGGCCGCACAAACAAGGGTTTTTACGTCCTATGCCTTGGACTCTCCACTCAAAAAGTTTTTTAGTGAATCTTCAGCAACTTGAATCCTTGGTAATCCAAATGATGCAGCCAAGATATATTTATATTTCGATTGACCCAATTGTGAAAAATTCGTGGTCTCAGTGGCAGTCGAACCCACACAGCAAGGGAGGCTTTAGCGCATTTAACTCTCTACCATTGAGCTAGGAGGTTCACCGTGAGCCGTGAATTTAATCACACTGGGGTTGATTTGCTTACCCAGCCTTACTGCACCTATTGAATTCACCAATACGCGCGCATTAAGCTGACTGCCAGATATTTGTATAAATATGCATATATTCGTGCGCGCCGTAAAAAGTTAGCTGAATCTTTATTCCATTATCATTAGACCTAGCTCCCAAAAAAGGCAATTTTGTCAGTCTTTGAAAATTGAATGCAATTTGCACCGTTCCAGGTTATAGTTCCAGTTTTGAAGACACATTTATCGCGTACACACGAGAACAGCATCTAGCGATAAGTCAGCATGGCACCGCCTTTGATCAATAGATGTTTCCCGACATTCAATCTCCGTCATGTGTATGTTAGCTGGCACGGTCCCAGAAGAATGTCGGCAGTAGAGCCATGACGACTGTCTGCCTGTCTGTACGCGAAACTTCTCAAAAAGTGCGTGTTTGCAGTGGCTTGATAAGTGAGATTATTTACTTTCAGTTGCCGTACCTGTTTCCCGCACTATAACGTATCGAACACGCATTTAACGTATCTTGACGCGCTAGGATGTCAAAAACAGGAGAATTCGGTTCGACTGTAAATTGAGAACAAGACAGCAATGACTCCTTCCTACTATCTTATTTATGACATTCTTTCTTATGATATCCCTTAAATGCAGCCTGATGTATGTGCAGTTAGTGGCCAGCTTGTAGACGAACAACTTAGCTCTGTCCGTCACCGCATCCGTGTCCACCTCGGTTCGTCTAGGTTTTCGCTTGCCATTGGAAAACGAGGGACGTAGGGGGGAGGGGGGGTGCCGGACAAACCCACCCGCCCCATCATCACTGCGCCCTTTCCGTGACACTGGTGCTACTCGTCTGCTGCCTTATCTAATCCCCTTCCTTCTTGTCAGGGTCCCAGCGATGTTCTGCGATTGTACATCGCCGGTGCCAGTCTCTCCTACGCTGGCAAGGAGTTGCAGGAGTTTGTGCGCAAAGCTCGCAAGCCCGTTGCTAATGTCCGCTACCTGCTGCCGAAGATGTTCATGAAGGATGTACGCCTACGTCTGTCGGCTCCAGCAGTCGGCGCCACCTCAATCGGGGAGAACGAACGCGGCGCCCGGGTGTCCCTCCGGGTGCGTGACCATCTTCATCCGAACTTGGCCAGTCATGCAGATCGAGTGTCCAGGATTATCTACCACACCCACGAGTTCACCCGACAGGCCTTTATCTTGCACGGGCCTGTAAGTTATGTCTGCCTTTTTTTGTTGCGCTGTTTTTTTTTTAAATTCTGTCTCCGAGGTGTGCGGCCGTAAAACACAATGCGGGTTGCATACTTGTCTTGCCCTGCAGTGAACAAATTCCAAAAAAAAACGATGGAACACCGCCTAGACTTGTTTTTATTTATTTCATAAATCGTATTCGAAAGACCTTCTCGTGTACTATACCCTGTTGGCATGTAAAAGATGTGCTTCATGGTGAGCCTTCTCGTGTTGGAACCTCAAAACTCGCCAGTTCATACAGGTTTTACTGTCAATGCAAAGTTCGTCTATCCTCCCAGTTTAGCCGCGTCGAAACACAACTTACGGTTCAGACGTAGCTTTTGGTCGTTGCATTGGGGAAGGACAAAGGTTCATCTCAAACCTCCGTCATACGACGTAATTCCCATCTTGATCCTCATTGTTTCTTACAATAAGCGCCTTTCCCCAAACCATCTCAAAACTTACTCCAAATTCTTATCGCTAAAAGTACTTTACTGGAAGTAAGTGGTCAGGGGAAATGTTACAACATCTTATGATTGGCTCCAAATAAGACATTGTCCCAGCCTCGAGGCAGGGGAAAGTAAAAAAATGCAAAGCACGCATGGGGGCTTCTACAAGATATTATCGATCCAATCAATTGAAGAGTGTTGCTTGTTTGTTTTTTTAACTTTGCAGATCCTTTCAGTTGCTGTTCCAACAGCTGCTTGGTAGAATGCGTCAGTAGAAGACCTCAAAACAAACGCATGTTTAGATCCCTCGATTCAGTCAGTTTTCATGAGTATTTTGTTCAGAGTTCCGCCGAAGTATGCTTTTACCCGCTCGGGAGATATCTTTTTTGCAATTTTTGAAGCGTCTCTAAGCTTATTTTTATTCTGCATGCTCATCAACGGGAATCTAAAGCAAAAGGCATTTTTTCGAGGGATTCCCTGTCAGTAATGTTCTCTGGAAAGGAGTGGGCTAATTTAATGGGAACTGAATCTTTTTATAGTTGCTAAATGATTCTTCAAAGCTTAACAAAATTAAACTGCCGATTTACGCAGTGATTGGAGTGCTGACGTCACAGTGCCTACTTTCTGATTTTGATCCGTCCTCTGTATGTTTGGCGGAGAAATGGGTTTGCTCTCAGTGTTATGACCCGAGGAGTAAGCAGAAAAAAGGCAAAAGGTCGGTTCTGGTGGCAAGGGCTTTATTCAGGTCAACACAAAGACAGTGGATTTTCCAGCGTATTTGTAAGGTTTTCCTCCTTTTGCAACAATCTTGGCCTATGGTATGCGACCAGTGTTCTGGCCTGCACGCTGACCGGTTGTTTGCCACGCTGTGTGAACGATCGTCGCGTGTGCACACTGATCGATTGCTTGCGCTGCCGGT